GGGGGGAGGAGGCCAGCCCTACTTGTGAGAATAGGATCAACAGTAGGAAGGTGACTCATCAGCAGAGGGGAACTCCTGAGGGACACAGTGCAAGTTGTTTGTTTGTTTTTTTAAAAAAAATATATATTTTCATTGATTTGAGAGAGAGAGAGAGAGAGAGAGAGAGAGAGAGGGAGAGGGAGAGAGAGAAACATCAATGATGAGAGAGAATCATTGATTGGCTGCCCCACACTGGGGATCGAGCCCACAACCCAGGCATGTGCCCTGACTGGGAATTAACCGTGACCTCCTGGTTCACAGGTCGACGCTCAACCACTGAGCCATGCCTCACCGTATCTCCTTTCTATGGAGCATGATGCTAATGCTGAAGGGATTACTGTAGTATTATAGAATTTCCTACTTAAATATATTTATTAAGCCAATAAGTGAATTGGCTTAAAGAAATTACTCATGATAGTAAGGTGGAGGTATGGAATATAACAAAATAAAAGTTAACGTCACTAGAATTGGAACTGAGGCACAGAGGGGGCAAAAGCAGGGCTGCCACCAATTGACCTGGACCAGAGGCAGGTGTGTGTGCGGGGAGCTGATACAGCTTTCACTCCCCTGGGTCAGCCCATAGGATGAGGTCATTTGAGAGCCACCCGAGACGCCATATGTACCCTGGGAAAGGCCTTCCCATGGTCCCAGAGCCAAGGTTTGCTGAGGTGGACTGCTACTTGCCAACCCAAAGATCCACCCCCCAATTCCATAAGCAGAGCCCCGATTTAAAATATTCAGCTTCCCAGCCTCCCTTGCAGCTAGCGTCAGCCCTGTGACTTGAACCCAGTTTGGGGCGCTGAGATGTGAATCCAAGTTGCTACCTGTTAAAGGGGTGAGCCCAGCTGGCACAGACGCTTGGCCCTTCTCCTCTTCCTGCCTGGGACAGGGTCATAAAGCAGGGGTACAGCCAATGCATGACCGTGAGATAACCACTCGTGGGGACCAAAGCTGCCAGAGTGAAGAGGCAGGGGAGCCATGATCCCAAGAGGCGCCGTGAGGCCTGAGTAGCACCTTTGGACTTCCCATTGTGTGAGGAAACAGCTTCTGCTTGTTTAAGTCAGTTCCTGTTACACCATCTCAGCGCCCGCCTTCCAGCTCATGGCTTTCCATTACCCCACCTCAAAGATCTTTTTTTTTTTTTTAACAGCACACAGGGCAAAGGTCCAAAGAGGAGGAAAACCGACCGGATGCACAGACTGTGGTGGTGGAGGGGTAGTGAGGGCTGGGGAGAACAGAGCAAGGTCTCCCCAGACTTGTCATCACCCTCTGGGGTGACCAGGGCCAGGAGGGCAAAGGGACCTGGAGGTGAAGGCTGGGCCCCACCTCCCTGATCCAACCCCTACTTGGGCCTCTTGGGGAGGCAAGTCACTGACCACCAGCTGTGAGGGGAAAACCAGGCTCTGCTCCCAGCTCCTGCAGGGCCCTTGAACCATTTCCTGCCCCTTTCCGGGCCTCAGTTTCCCCTTCATACTATGAAAGGAGGGACAGGTGTTTTCCATCAGGTCTGACATTCTGTAGGGCTCTGGAGGAGCTGAACGCATCTGCTGCTTTTCTGGAGGTCAACCCACCTGAGTCCCGGGGGGACAATATCACACCTGAGGCCCTGTGTCCATCAGGCCCGTTCCAGACCCCAGTTCCCTGCAGGCGAACCGCCCACTGAGCCCAGCAGTCAAGCAACACAGCCCTGTCTGCTTCTTGGACACAGAGACGATGAGCTCAGAGACAGCGATAATAATCAGGTGTTTACAGTTTCCCAAGCAAACTAAGGGTTTTACAGAGATAAGCTCATTTATCCTCCAATGACTCTGCGAGGCCGACACTATTATGATACCCACTTTGCAGATCAAAAAAATTGAGGCCTAGAGAGGTTAAGAGCACAGCCTAAGGTCACAGAGCTAGTAAATAGCCGATCTGGGTATATATTCTGAAATCCATGCACTTTAGGGCCTAAATGAGATGGGGAAATCCCAGAAGAGTGTGCGGGAGGCGGGGCGGGGAGAATGGTAAGTAAAGAAAGAAGCAGGATGCGGAAAGGGCCAAGGTGTCGGTGGGCAGCAGGGACTTACAGCTAGAGCAGGAGCTAAGATGGGCCTGAGCGGAAAGGGCCAAGGTGTCGGTGGGCAGCAGGGACTTACAGCTAGAGCAGGAGCTAAGATGGGCCTGAGCGGAAAGGGCCAAGGTGTCGGTGGGCAGCAGGGACTTACAGCTAGAGCAGGAGCTAAGATGGGCCTGAGCCCACGGTCACAGAACACTGTCATCAGAGGCAGAGCTGGATCCTTCCCCATATCAGGCCGCTTCGCCAGCCACAGCTTGGAGGGGCATTCTGGCCTCAAAGTGCCCTGGACCCTGCCCAGAGGCCCAGAAGCGTCCCCCATCCCACACGTCATTTTCTACACCCTCCCCAGAAGCAACCTCTTCTTCCCTCCCCCTGCCCCCCACCCACACACACACAGTGAAAACTTCCCCAGAGAGGTCAGGGCTGAAGAAGCCCCTTTACCACCAGCACCTTCCCCCACCCTCCCTGCCAGGCAGGGTCCAGCCACCCTCAGTCCCCTACTCCCCTCTCACCCTCCTAGGACAGCCTGTACTATCTGTTTAGTCTGTCTCCATAGTAACGGCTTTCTGAAGCGGAGGGCCTTCCTGGGAGAGGAGGCTTCTGGGAAATGTAGTCTTCTGTCACTACCCAGGTCTGGCCCCGGAAGCCCTGGGCTGCAGGTTCCCTGGCCGGCGGTGGGCTGGAACCAGCGTATGCCAGCTCGCAAGAGATGATTGTTAGCGTTTCAGGAATGTTGGCGAGCCAGTTGAAAAGCACAGCCATGGTTAAAACGTTTCCCGTTTCTGTTTTTGGAGAAAAGGGGACCCACAGAAGTCACAATGCGGCCCTGTGGAGGTTTGGGGGTGAAATCCTGGGGAGACACGGCAGCTGTCCTGACAAGGGTGTATAAGAGCTGCTACTGGTTGAAAGGTAGGGCTGACCTCAATTCGCAACAGTAAAGAAGGATTCTTTCCTTCCAGTTGGAACAGTATGCAGTCATGGGAAATAACATGTGAAGGATAAATTAGACGGAGGGGAAACTCACGAGACCGCGTGCGGACTTCAGTCCTGGTGCGCACCCCGTGATTAGCTCTGTGGGCAGCTCACCGGGGTGAAGGCCGGAGGGACGAGGAAGCGGGAAGCCAGTGACGTGTTGGGCTGGTGGATGGAGCATAGATAGGCTTCTTTCTCCTCCCCCCCATGCACCATCTCATTTCCTTTGTATATTTATTTACTTCCGTTTATCCCTACACCTACACCCATTCCCTGCTCCCTATAGGCAACCTTTCTGATGGGTGTTTTTCTTTCCACCCAAATGAGCATTGTTTTGCACGCTGCTGTTCTTAATTTGTGTAAATGATATTGCATTCAGACCTCCTGTTTCTTTTTTTTAAAATATACTTTATTGATTTTTTTACAGAGAGGAAGGGAGAGAGATAGTTAGAAACATCGATGAGAGAGAAACATCGATCAGCTGACTCCTGCACACCTCCTACTGGGGATGTGCCCGCAACCCAGGTACATGCCCTTGACCGGAATCGAACCTGGGACCCTTCAGTCCGCAAGCCAACGCTCTATCCACTGAGCCAAACCGGTTTCGGCCCTCCTGTTTCTTTTATTTTCACTTTGTTCAAGACCCATCTGTGTTGCTGTGTGTCCATGGCACGGATCCACGTGAATAACCTCCTTACTCTCACAGGGACGGACCAACTCCCTTCCACAGCGGACAGTGCCACACAGGCCGTGGGCCTGTCCCTTTTAGACCTGGGAGAGCAGCAGCACTCCGTTTTTTCTCCAGGCAGTTGAAACCTACCCTCTCCCCACCTTTTACAATGCGTGAGGGAGCCTAGAACCCTTGCGCCTGCCAGCGGTTGGTATTATCTGGCTTCCTAACGTTTGCCAGTTTCCGGTATCCCTATTAAACGCGTGTCTCTCATGCTTTTAAACGTGTCTTGATGTACTAATGTGTTCGTTTTAGGTGTTTCCTTCTCTTGAATTGTCCCTTAAGACTTCAGCCCACTTCTCTTTATAGGGGACATCCTTCTTCTGATTGGCAGGACTTCCAGAGGTTCCTCTCTGGTTTTCGATGTTGCAAATATCTTCCCGTATTCTGTCCTGTGTCTTCTAATATATCCCTGGGTGTCCTTCATTAAGCAGAAAACCTTAGCTTTGATGTGATTAAATTTGCCAGGTTTGAGTCTGATGTTTTGTGCTTATGAATTTTTGCTTGAGAAGTCCTTCTTTACCCTTTGGTTGCAAAATATTTTCCTACATTAACATCATAATTTTGGCATTCCATTTAGACCTTGAATCTGCCTGAAGCCCACTCCCGGGGTCAGCCAGCCTAGTCCAAATTCTGAGGGGTTAGAGAGAGATTCTGTCCTATTTTTCTCCATATAATGAGCCAACTTTCCAAAGCCATCATCGGATCGTTCATCCTTCTTGGTGATGCCACTTTAGTCATGTATTATGTCTCCTAAGTGTACACGAGTCGGCCACTGAGCCCTCTATTCTGTCCCACTGGTCTTCATGCCTATCCCTGCACAAACCCCATATTGGATTTATCATGATGGTCTTGTAATAATTTCTTAAAGAGTCTGTAGTTCAAGTCTTCCTTCTATGCCCTCTTTCATATATGTTGAGGTAGCTATGTGAGGCCTAAATGCCTCCATATAAATTTTAGAATAACTTTTTAAAAGTCTTAAAGAATCATTTGGAATCTTTATTGAAGTTGCATTGTATTCCTAGATTAATTTGTGAATAATTTTTGTCTTCTGATATTATCTGTCAGAGAGCACAGAATAAGTAGGTCTTCTAATTTCCTGTATATTTGTTACATTGTAATAAAAACATACTAGGAGTAAATAAATTGGGGTAGAGTGGAGAGAATCAGGGAGCCATGGTGGTGATGGTGGGCCGGGGGGCCCATCTGCAGCACCCCGATGAGCCTGCAGCCCAGGGCCTGATAAGGTGATGGCCAAGGCCAAGTTCTGGCCCATCACATTCCTGAGGGACCAAGCGGGCCGGGCACCAGGCAGCCCTCTCAGCCAATGTCTCATTTAATCCTTCATCAACCCTGTGGGGCAGCTGCTGCCACCCCTGCCTTACAGGTTCAGCGGGTGAGGAACTGTTCCTTGGCAGGTTGGTGGGCCTCTCGGGGCCTCCATGCCTCGTCCCCACACGGGGCTGTGCACTTGACGGAGCTGAGACGGAATCTGGAAGGGAGCCTTAACCTTCACACCTGGACCCCGGACCTCCTAGTTCACATACAGGCTTTACACAAGGGCTCCGCCTGGTTTCTCTTCAGGCCAAGGAAGGGGGTCTCGGGGAGCCAACTACCTCCCCCTGAATCGTGCGGGGCACTTGACTTCGTCACCTCACTTAGTGCTCTCAGGACGAGGCAGGACTCGATCTCAATTTTACGGAGCGGGAAGCGGGCTCAGAGAGGCGCGGTGACATGCGGCCCCTTCGGAGCAGAGGCGGGATTTGAACCCAGGCCCTCAGACCCTGGCGTCCCTCTGCTCTTCCTGAGCGCAGGTTGGCAACTCGGAGACGTTGGGGGGAGGGAGCTGAGATCCTTGGCATGAGAATCATAGGTCTGTGAGGATAAACCCCGCCCCACCAAGTGTGTGCAGAAAACCGAAGCCTGTGGCTCAGCTGCTGTGATGTCCACACCCCAGGATTTCCCTTCCAGGAACACGGTGACTTGCTTAAAATAGCCCCCCCGCCCCCTTCCTGTCTTTCATCTGTTGCTGGCCCTGACTTGGCATCTGGCAGGCCGGCAGCCCCAGGGCCGTGGGGAGGGTCTCATTGGACTAACTTCTCATCTGTAGAATGTGCCTGACCGGCTGCAAAGCCCCCTGGGCAGGGTGTGGGTGGGGAGGGGTGCGATTCCCTGCTGGTTAGTAAGCCAGGCTGGAGCGGAACTTGATGGTGGAGATGGGGCTCCGGGAGGGGGACCGTCCCAGGGCTCTGCCCTCCTGTCCGCAGGCTGGGGAAGCGGGTGCGGGGAGGGGGCTGTGTCTCTCTCCATCTGTCCCTCTCTGATCTCTCCCTTTGCATCAGCTCATCTGTTAATTCTCTCTTTCTGGCTTCATCTCTCTATCGCTTCCTCCATCTCTATTATCTGCCTCCTTTTGTTTCCTATGGAGGAAACAGCATGCGGTTGCTTGTGACCCAGCGGTCAAGCCGCTGGAAGCAGGGTCAGGCCTGGGACACGCCCCTGGCTCAGGGCTGTCAGGCTGCAGCCGAGCTCACACATCCACCTACTAGGCCGGCGGATATCTGCTCAGGGCCCGGACGCACCAGGGCTGGGCTGACGGGGCTAGTGAGGCCGGCAAAGCGCCCGCTCTGTAGCTGTAGGTGCTCAGATTCCCGGTGGGGTGTGCGTGGGTGGGGGGGGGGAAGGCTGGGGGATGTGCTCCCTCTCTCTGCTCAGCCCAGCCCCCTCCCCTGCCTTGCACCTCCAGCCCACTGTGACCCCCATCGTGACCCCTACCATGGCAGCAGGTCAGAGGTCAAGCCACCCACATGGCAGTCAGAATGGGAACAGGGCCCTTGCTGGGGTGTCACCCACTGAGTGGCATTCTCTGAATGTCAGTGTCCTGGCACCTGAAGGGCTGGCAGCCCCCCAAATGGTGGGGGTTCTTCTGTGATAATAGGCCATGGTGGGCCTGGCCGAGACCAGGTGGCCTGGGTCCAACCCCCCAAACAAACCTCCAGTTCACAACTACCTGGTGCCTGAGGAGCTGACACCTCCTCAATGCCCCCTCACCACGGGCAGGGGAGCCAGCGGGTGGAGAGGCAGTGACAACAGCGGGGAAGGGGTGGTTGGGCTCCTTGGAGGGGCCGTGCCAGCAACAGACTCTCCTCTTACTGAGACCAGACGGTGGGCAATGGCAGATGGGCTGCTTCTCTATGAAGGCAGGGGTGGGGTGGGGTGTGGGGGGGTGAGGGTGCAGAGCGGCAGGGGTGAGGGTGCTGTTCTGTGCTAGGAGGAGGCTCAGGGTTATGGGAACCTTGAGCCCCTGCAGTCCTGGATGGGGGGATTCTGATACCAGAGCTGATCTGGGTGGGACCTCTGAGATCATGTGGTTCGCCCTGTCCCTCGTCCTCCCTCCCCAGCCACACTGTACAGACGTGGAGACCGAGGCCCAGAGGGAGGCCGGGAGCTGTCCAGGCGCACACATGGGTCAGAGTCCTGTCATTGCGACGCCGTGTGGGTCTGCTCAGCCCGGGCGGTGCCGGAGGAGGAGGACACGGTGGTCTGGCTCGGGAAGTAGAGGACGGTGAACCAGCAGAAGATGAAGACACCTGAGGAGGAGAGGGCAGGGGGAGCCCGGAGTGAGGGGGTGGGGATGGCGGTGGGGACAGGGAGCTGGGCGGCCTGGCGGCGGCTGCCCAGAGAAGAAATAGCCCCATCGTAAAAGTTCAAGAACTTAGGGGAAAATGGGGCAAAATGAAACTGGAAAAAGAATCAAAAAGGCATCTTGGAGTTCAGGTTTAAATATGAAGGGTGCCCAGCCGGCGTGGCTCGGTGGTTGAGCGTCAACCTATGAACCAGGAGGTCACGGTTCGATTCCTGGTCGGGGCACATGCCCGGGTTCCATCCTCAGTGTGGGGCGTGCAGAGGCCACCAACCCATGAATCTCTCTCATCATTGATGTTTCTATCTGTCTAAGGCGGCCCCATCAGATCCTTGACGCTCCTAAGAACTGGAAGAGACCTAATCATACCGTCGTCATAGACGTGGCAGGTCGTCCTGGGTTGAGGTGACCATATTGGGGGCCGCGGGTGGGAATGGGCCAGCGGAGAGAGAAGAAGGTGAGAGGATGCACGTGGCTCCAGAGAGAAAGATGGAGAAAGTCTCTGCTTTGGTTTGGAGGGCTTTTCCTGAGCCTGGCAGCAGCTCCCCTGAGGCCAGCCAGCCTTTCTGGCCCGAGGATCTAGGCTCAGGGGTCCTCAAACTACGGCCCGCGGGCCACATGCAAATACAAATACTGTATTTGTTCCCGTTTTGTTTTTTTACTTCAAAATAAGATATGTGCAGTGTGCCTAGGAATTTGTTCATAGTTTTTTTTTTAAACTATAGTCCGGCCCTCCAACGGCCTGAGGGACAGTGAACTGACCCCCCTGTTTAAAAAGTTTGAGGACCCCTGGTCTAGGGAGAGGCCTGGGTCGGATATTTACCGTCAGCAGCCCTGACCTGAGCTGGCCTCATGGAATCCTGTTTCCTGCCAACCACTCTCTCCCTGCCTCCCATCCCCACCTCCCGCCCCGGGTGCGGATGGGGCAGCCGCCACCTGCCGGGCCCAGGAGCCTCACCTTGTAAGGAGTTGAACAGTGCGAAGATGTAGATGGTGGACAGGCCCAGTGGCGTGAGGATGGCCAGCCCCCAGGTCATGCCCACCAGGCTCGAGAGGCCCAGCAAGGTGAGGACCCCCTTCCAGTGCTGCCGCTGCTCCTTGCCGGCCGTGGCACTCGACAGGGTGAAGATCTTCCAGGCCAGCAGGCCCAGCACCACAGCGCTGAAGAGGAAGGTGATGAGGAAGTAGCCGTGGACGGTGGCGTAGAGGGCAGTTTTCTCCTGGAACCAGCACCTGGTGGAGGTGGGCGGCCATTGGGACGGGGCCAGGTCCTCCTGACCAGCGAGCCCTGGGCAGTCTCCCCGGACTGACCTTCAGCGACCAAGAAGACGCCCTTCCCATCTCCACCCAGCCACCCCCTCTCCTGGGGGAGGGGCTCTTGGGAGGCTCCGGTCTGGTGTCTCTTTTTTATTTTATTTTCATTTTTAAATATCTTTTTATTGATTTCAGAGAGGAAAGGAGAAGGAGAGAGAGATAGAACATCAGTGATGAGAGAGAATCATTGATCAGCTGCCTCCTGCACGCCTCCCACTGTGCCCTTGACTGGAATCGAACCTGGGTCCCTTGAGTCCACAGGCCGGCCCTCTCTCCACTGAGCCAAACCGGCTAGGGTTCTGCTGTCTCTTTAGACTAGTGGGTGCAGAAGGGTCAATTGGGCCCCAAAGATATGTTGTAAAAAAGATATGCCCCACATGATGTTGTAAAAAAAAAAATGAGTTAATGACCATCGTTTAAAAAGTAGGAGGTTTGGCATAAGCACCCAGATTTCTGCTTCTGTTGTAAAACCGCATGCCTGGGGCGGGGGCGGTGGGTGGGCGGTGGCGGGGAGGGTCAATCAGGAAAAAGGAGACACATGTAATACTTTAAACAATAAAAAATACACCACACACTCAAAAAAACAAACAACAACACACGTGCCTGGCAGCTGCCCATTAGGCGGGTGTGTGACTGCCAGTCTAATGCAGCGCCCCCCACCCCACCCCCGTCGGCTGCCACATGCACTTATCTTATAGTCTACCCTGTGGTCCCTGCATTTGAGTCCAGGGGACATGACCAGCCCCTCTTAGCACAGAGCCATGGGCCCAAGACAGACGCCCTGGGCAGGGCTTGGCTCTGCCCCACTGCTCCCTGCACTGCAGGGGTGAAAGTCCAAAAGAGCATGTCTGTCAGCCCTCCACCCATTGTACAGATGAGGAGACTGAGGCCCAGAGAGAGGACAAGCTTGCCCAAAGTCACACAGAGGCAGAGCCTAGATAGGACCAGAGCTGCTGGGGATACATGAGCAGGTTGTGCCCTGCACAAGGGCACCTGGCTGAGGGGGGCAGGTGGGGGCTGAAATCTAGCTGGGTGCCTGGCCTGTCAGATTGGGGGTAGGGGGCACTTTAAAAACATGTCCCCAGCCCTGACTGGTTTTGCTCAGTGGATAGAGCGTCAGCCTGCAGACTGAAAGGTCCCAGGTTCGATTCCGGTCAAGGGCATGTACCTTGGTTGCGGGCACATCCCCAGTAGGAGATGTGCAGGAGGCAGCTGATCGATGTTTCGCTCTCATCGATGTTTCTAACTCTCTATCCTGCTCCCTTCCTCTCTGTAAAAAATCAATAAAAAATATATTTAAAAAAAAAACATGTCCCCAAGTGCCAGATGGGCTGGTGGTGGACCGGCTAGAGCAAGGCATCCCACCTCCTGCCCCGGGTCTCTCTCCTCCTTCTCAGGTCCCCTCGCTCACTGCATATCCTCTCTCCAGGCCTCAGTTTACCCCTGCGGATAGGAGGATCCTTCGCCTTGAGTTCCTGGGTCCCTCCTCTCTCCACCTCCCCCTGGCCTCCCTATGTGCAGCCAGGGACCCGGCGTCACTCCTGCCCCCACAGCCACCACTCACAGCTCCAGTGTGGTCCTGTTGTCCTGGTCTCGGATGGTGTAGAGGCCATAGCTGCTGGCACTCGCGGTGCCGATGACCATGAGGGCTGGCAGGCCTGGGCGGGGGAGGGGGCACGGCATTGCTGGGACGCACACCCCGGAGCCAGCCCCTCTGCCCCGCCCGGCCACACCTACCCCAGCCCACGAGGCTCAGCTTCAGGAAGTAGTGCCCGAAGTAGGTGTTGAAGACCCTGATGACGAGCAGGTAGAGGTGGAAGGCTTCCAGCACCATCCAGGTGAAGACGCAGAGCAGGAAATAGTGGAAGATGGCCCCCCGGGCCATGCAGGCAGCAGGGGTCCCCTGTGGGCCGTGCCCCACAACGATGAAGAAGGTCAGGTTCAGGAGAAACAGGCTGACGCTCAGGGCCACGTGGATCTTAGGGGCATCTTCTGACTTGAACCTCTTCCAGGAGAACCTGGGGGGGAAGGGCCAGCGAGGGGCTGCAAGGGCCGCGGCATCACGGGGCCTCTCCACCCCGCCTCCTCTGCTCCGCCCCTGCCGCGGCCAGAGTGAGGGCCCTCCGGTTCCGGCCCAGGAGCCCTCCCATGGCCACCCGGATCCTGCCGGTCTCCTCCCTCCCTCAACTCGATGCTTCAGCCCAATGGATAACTCGCCATTCCCTGGATGCATTCTGCTGTCTGTGCCTGGTTTTGAAATGGGACTAGGAGGATAGAAAATGCCATCTTTGGGGGAAGCTGGGTGAAGAAAGCAGGGGACTCTATGCGCTGTGGTCACCACTTCCTGCGAGTCTATAATTATTTATTTATTTGTAAATGTATTTTTATTGATTTCAGAGCAGAAGGGAGAGAGAGAGAGAGAGAGAGAGAGAGAGAAACATCAATGATGAGAGAGAACCATTGGTCGGCTGCCTCCTGCACGCCCCCCACTGGGGGATCGAGCTTGCCACCTGGGCTTGTGTCCTGACCGGGAATTGCCGTGACTGGGAATCGAGCCCTGACCTCCTGGTTCATACGTCAACAGTCAACCACTGAGCCATGCCGGTCGGGCTACATAATTGTTTAAAAATATTTGAAAGACTTAAGTTCTGGGACTCCGTGTCCGATGTGAACCGTCAGGACAACTGAGAGCCTGGGATGCAAGCCTGGGCTCCCGGAGGCCCCTGGGGGTGGAGAAGCTGCCGGGGACGATTAACAAAGGAGAGCGAAGAATTCTCTTGCCACTAATACTTTTGGAGAGTGAATCATTGATCGGCTGCCTCCTGCATGATCCACACTGGGAATAAAGCCTGCAACCTGGACATGTGCCGTGACTGGGAATCGAGCCCTGACCTCCTGGTTCATACGTCAACAGTCAACCACTGAGCCATGCCGGTCGGGCTACATAATTGTTTAAAAATATTTGAAAGACTTCAGTTCTGGGGGCTCCGTGTGCGATGTTATGTCAGGACAGCTGGGAGCCTGTGATGCAAGCCTGGGCTCCCAGAGGCCCCTGGGGGTGGAGAAGCTGCCGGGGACGATTGACAAAGGAGCTGCCAGGGACGATTGACAAAGGAGAGAGCGAAGTATGAGAAGCAGAGGGAGACCGACTCCCGGGGACCTGGTCCTGGATCGAACCGCACCTGCTGTGAGCTCACTGGGGTCTCTCCATTACCTGGCCCCCACACTCCTGAGGATGTGTAAGCCCATGGGCGTGGAGTCTCTGCCCCTTGTAACTGAAATGACCCAGCACTTGGCAGCCTCCGGCCCTATTTTACGGATGAGGACACTAAGGTTTGGAGAGGACGTCAATATGATTGTGCACGACCAGGGTGCCTTTGGCCCGGCACGTGTGCTGCCTTTGAGGACAGGGGGGAGTGGGGATGGGTCACCCACCTCAGGGCCACGTAGAAGACAATGGTGAAGGCCAGGAAAACCATGGAGGCGCCACAGCCGACCTGGGAGATTCGCACGAGTGCCTGCACGGTGGCCTTGTCCAGGGTCGGCCTCTGTGGGCAACACCCCCAACCAGAACCCCATCAGCTGGCAGCCAGGCCCACCTACCCCCAAAGGCCGTGGCCCCTGCCAGGAAGCCCCCTCCCAGGACAGGAGTCTGGGCCCCTCCAGACGTGCTGGGGGTGGGGGGCGGTACCAGCAGCAGGGCGAAGAAGGTCAGGTGGTCACAGCGGCACAGTGTCGCCTGCGCCCCGGGCTCCGTGGAGCAGCCCTCCGAAGACCAGTCTCCTGTGGACCCTGGAGAGGAGGGGAGAGGACCATCGGGAGGGGAGGGAGGGGAGAAGGAAGAGGAGGGACTTCCTCTCTGTAAAAGGAACAAAGAGGAGGGAGAAGAGGGAGGAGGGAGAAGAGGGGAGGGGCCCTGTGGGTAGAGCCCTGCACCCCAAAGGGAGTCCATACTCCCCCCACCTGTCTCACCCAGAGGAGGTCCTCCAGGCCTTACCTTTAGTCACATCCCAGAATACACAGGTGAGGGTCATGTTCTGAAACCAGAGAATGGGAGTCAGGAGAGAGGCAGGGGGAGGCTGGGAGAGGGGAGAGAAGGGCATGGGAGGGGAGGGGGAGGACCGCATGCTCCCTCCTCCTAGCATGTGTGTGCAAGGCTCACACGGGAGCATCGTGGTCACAGAGGAACGCAGGCCACACCGTTGATGGCCCCTGGATTGGCACATGAGGCGCCTGGGTATGGTGACGGGCTGTGGGTGGGAGGGTTGCATGTCTGTGGGTGGGTGTGTAATGCCGTGTGCATGCATGTGGGTGTGCCAGGTCCTGTGTGCACCTCTCCGGAGGCATGTGGGCATCCGCACACAGGGTGGGCACGCATCCCCTGGGCACAATTGTGTGTGCGGTCCTAACGGCTTCTCCTGGGTGGATGTGGAGGGCGGACGGTGCGGAGTCCTGTGTTTGTCCGTGTGCCCAGGGGTGCCCACCCACCTGTCTGCCCCTGCGTCACTGCCGGCCTGGGTGGGGGCTCACCGGAGGCTGGTGCGGGGGCGAGAA